ACTCAGCTCCCGGTGTTGGCACAATCTAGCTGTCTACAGAACCTTTTGTTCATTGTTTAAGGGGGTGGCTATATCAGGTATGATTAAAAAGTAAATAAATAAAAACACCAAGCCAAGCGAACTAAGATCGGATAAGCTCTTTTGAGTGTTAGAATTTTGTATAGCCTAAAATTGTTATAGATTACAGAACCCATATTTTCTTCCGGAAAATCTCTTCTAATGAATTGTATTTCCAACGTTAACATGTAAAGACTCAAATTCAGAATCCGATGTTTGCTTAGGGAATCCCTAGAGGACATTTGCCCTCACGGGAAAAGAAAATGGATAGGAAAAGAATGTTTAATGTTTCTAATTAAGGAAATTGTATTTTTTTACTGTATCTTCACCACTTGCAGGGTTATTTACTCTTAAAACCATAAAATCCAACGTATCTTGTTGCTTTTATGTAATTAATTCAGAAAATTTTCACAGGAAAACACCAGTAAATACTTATTTGTATTTTAAATTTTAAGGGCTTAAAAAGCTTTTCAAATGAAAAGATTTTTAAAATATTTTTGTCTTGTAACTTGTGAATGGAAATTTATTTTGCATTGGCCCTTGGTTTGCAAATACTACACACACATGGAAGCAAGGGTCTCATAAAGCAGTTTCTATCCTTCTGAAGGGCAATACAGACTTCTTCTCTTCTACTCATTTTTTTTAATGGAGACGTCCTCCCACCAAATTGATTTCATAACCTACCAGTGGAGCATGAATTGCCATTTGAAAATAAGATGAGAAGTAATATTTTAATAGTTCTTTTTCAGTGTGATAAATATATGTGTCACAAGTCACTTTGACATTTCAACAGTTTTCACATGTACAGTTTCAGTGACACTATAGTAATTATGGTCATCATGTTGTTCACACAGCACCCTAATCTGTTCCCAAATCACACCATCACTCTTAAAAGGAGCTCTGTGGCCCTTCAGCCTTGGGCCCTTCTTTCTTCCATCCTCCTTGCTTGCCTCTGATAACCACCAATAATGTTTGGTCTCTATTCACCTGCTTAGGAGCCTGGTGGTGCAGTGGTTAAGTGCTTTACTGCAAGGTGAAAAGTCGGGGCTTCAAACCTACCATACACTCTTTGGGAGAAAGAGGTGGCAATCTGTTTGCATTAAGACTTACAGCCTGAGAAGCACAATGGTGTGTGATTTCACTCTGACCTATAAGACCTTTATGGGTTGGAATCAACTTGATGGCAATGGGTTAAGTTCTACTTATAAAATTTAAGTTCTGTTTCATAGACATCTCATCATAGAATATTTATCCTTTTGTGATTGACTTTTTTCACCCAATATAATGCTTTTAGGGTTATAGCACATATATTTCAGACCTTCATTTCTGGTTTGTTTGTTTTTTTCTATATGTTTTTGGCTTGGCTCATAAACTGATAACATAAGTTAATAAAGAATGTAAGTTTAAAAAAAAACACCTGCTTTTTTTTTTTGTCTTCCCATTTTTGGTAAAGAAGAGTTGACAAAAGTTAGGAATTGACTTCAACATTTCCATTCAATTCTGGAATCAGAAGTAGTAAATTATTTCTGGAGGAGTGTTTTTTAAGCTTATCAGATTATGGAATATAATGTCTCATAATTGTAATTCCTATAAGACTCTCAGTTGTTGTTGATATCTTTTGAGGAGTTTCTTTGAATATTTAAAAATAAACTCTCAAAAGATAGGACTACACCTAAGAATTTTAAATATAGCTGATGTGATTAAGTAGCTTTGATACATCTTATAACTTTGCTTTAGTCTCTGAGAATTTTCTTTATACCTCCCAAAACTTCTCAAGTCTTTCCACTTTGGGGAAAATATTGTTAAATGTCTTATTCAACAGTCTGATTTGTGGGAGGGACAAGAGGTGCGGGGGCTGTTCTGGAATATCATATTGATATAAGCTCATAAGAAGCAGGATTTTCAGTGAAGTAAAACTTGTGGGTTGGCTCAGTATCGGGGAAGATGTATATATTCTCTCTTAGGATTTTCCAATTTCCTCACTAGCTGGCTGAGAGATTGAAATCTAGAGAGACTCTACTTGAACTAAGCTTCGCTGTTAGAAGTGAAGCTGGGACTAGACCCAGCCCACCCTGTGCCTGCCGATCCCCACTGCAGTGCACATTTGGAAATTCGTGAGCTTGTCACTTCATAGCCCAGGCCATCTTGGCTATTGTCCACATTTGATAGTCAGAAACAGGACAGACTCTCTGGAAAAGTATCATTGTCCCTACATGATTCATGTAATACAGGAGTCACTGGCATCTGTGTGTCTTTTCTGTTCTGCTTGGTAGGACATGCTATCACTTATCTCGTGGTCCAGTTATAGAGAACAATGTGTTTTGCAAGCATAAGGTATTAATAGCATTGGTTTATAGTCCTCTAAAAGTCACTAGTGATGGACAATTACAGTATCGGTTATGAAGTCAGTAGCTAAATTGCCAGCATGGAAAAACCAATGGAGTGACAGAGACATACCTAACAAAACTAGCAACAAAATATTTTTTAAAAGAGACATAAATCCTAGGAGAAATTCTAGAGAAAACATGACTATAATTCTTTCTCTCCAGATAAAGGAAAGGCAGTGAGAAGTGAGAAAGAAGAAAACAATTACAATCGAAAGGAAGGAGGGAACCTTTTTCTAAATACTATCGTGGATGGTTTTCAATGTCAATCAGTTTTCCTATAAACTGCTCATTAGGGAGTAATGGGAAATTGTTTTCTGTGGGAGGAGATTAAAAAATACCAACAACAAACATTGACATTTTAAAACCTAAACTTCTTTAGTGAAATGACTATTAAAATTCAATGTTAGATGAAACCGAGGCATTTTGGAGAATATTTGAGCAGTGTCCTAAGAGTCAGATAATGAATGAGTCAGATAAACTGAGTGCTTTGGGTGACTCATGTTTCGGAAGCAGGGGTTATGAAACCACTGATGCTATCAGTGTTTCCACTTGTATGCTACCTGGTAGTGCCAAACGCAAGTCTTGTAATGTCCATGACTCTTCCAGCTCCAACTTCTCCAAAAAACTTTCCAACACACCAGTCACAGGTCTACCGATTTGACTATATAGTATGTTGGAATGATATTAGCACAACTAGCACCAGCCAGATACGTAACTGGGACACACATAGTTGCAGTTAGGTGCCATCAAGTAGATGTCATCTCAGACCAACCCACGTGGCAGAGGAGGACTGCTCACATGGAGTTGCCTGGACTCTAGGAGTCCCATTTTCAGAGGCACTGTGTCCAAGCTGTCAGCCTTTCAGATTGTAATCAAACTCTTCACTTTTGCACCACTAGGATACGTTATGAACCTCACTGGAGGAAGGGGCCCAAATACAGCCTCACAGGATAAGAATGGAAGAACAAGGCTGGGCCTGGTTTATCCAAGATGGAAGAAATGGGCCCTGTCACCCCAATACTGCCCTAGGAGGCTTCACAGAAGATAAATTAAATCAATACATACTGTCTGGTTTCTTTAGTGAGTAAATACAAATACAACTACATAGGATGCTTTAGGCTCTATCCTGAAAAGGTGAAACCTGCATGGGAAACAAATGGGGTCCATACAGTTTGATACAACACATGGCAGAACAGGAATGTGTAGGGAACACAGAACAATGTCTTAATGAAGGATTCTTCCTGGTGCGGCCATGGCCAATGAAGTGAAACTGGAACAGATCCAAATTTTCAAAATGTAGTTGTGCTAGAACCATAACCAGAGTAGGAAAAATTATGGCTGATGTCCTACTAGGAATTTAATCTCCCTCTTCAAAAACAAGAGTGATGTGCATGTTGCATAGCAACCAAGCCTCTTGACAAGCATGCTCATAAACAATGGTGTCCGGCTCAAAGCTGTGACACTCTCCACCATCCTGGCAGTCATCCAGTGTCCTACATCAGGCTCCTGAACAGACTTCTGATGCCTCTTCTGAGTCTCCCGCTCCAGGACTTTGACCTGTAATTTTCCGTGTTCCGGGCATCGTGTTGGAACACCACATTGTACAAACTTGAGTCGGTTCTGATTGTGCTGTATTAGTAGGACTGAGCCATGTGGCATCTATTCAAAGCCATGGTCTTAACACAAAAGGACTGAGTGGCCCCATAGAGAAAATGTACCTTGGCCTGGACCTTGAAGGATGAAAGGAAGCTGTAAGTGTTGACGAAGTAAAGAAAGCATTCACTGCCATCAAGTCAAGTTGGACGCATCGAGGCTGAATGAGACGGAGTAGAACTGCCCCTGAGACTTTCCAAGACTAACTCTTTACAGGAGTGCGGAGGTGCACCTTTGTAAAGTTGATTCCAACTCATGGTAACTCCGTGGGTCAAAGTAGAACCGTGCTCCCTAGGGCACAGACTGATGTTTCGAAGTAGATTCTCCATTTCCTCTGGTTGGACTCACCCCCACCTTCTTATTAAGCAATTGAGCACACTGACAGTTGCACCACTGAGGGAGACCCAGTTTATTTTAATAAGAGTTATTTACCTAGCCCGACCCCAGAGTCGAAGAAGTGGAAAAAGCTGAGATGGGAATACGGGCACAAAGATGTGTCAGGACAGTGTAGCTCTCTTACTGGGGTTTACATGATCCGTGCCTTGACATTATCCCCATCACAAGAATAGGTCTACCCTGGAAATTGTTAACATACTCAGTATCTGAGATTCAGTTCCTTAGCAGAGCCCCAACTGAAGCAGGAAATAAAAGTAGTCTAAGAAAAGCTTGCAATCTTCTCTAGATGCGTAAAAAACCTTATATTGCTTGTATTTCGGGGAACCTGTGGTGTTAAGATCTGGATAAACACCTGCTTAAGAATGCACATGTATACACACACACAATTTAGAAAAAAGTTTAATTGGTTTCTGGACATTCAAGTTTTCCTGGATTGTTGCAAGTCTACAAATCCGTTCACTTGAACATTGCTGATGTGTTTCTTTGGTCCTTTCCTATTTTCTACAGGATTGAAAAAGCGTACAAGGAAAGCCTTTGGAATACGGAAGAAAGAAAAGGACACTGATTCTACGTATGTACTTAATAATTTCTCTCCCCAAAGAACCTACTTGGATCAAAGAGGCTGCTGTTACTTTAAAATCACCCCCAGAGTTTTCTTGGAGATCCTGTACTGCTTGATGGCTCTCCCCCGGTCTGGGAAAATGAGCATTGCTGGGCATCAGTGGTGCTCAGCTTTGTGCTGAAAAGTGGAAGCTGATTTTATTTCTCAGTCACATGATAGCAGTCCTGAGAGGTGCCACTCTGCTGCTGAGTTGTAACCATCTGAAAATACACGTCTCGTGTGATCTACTTTGTCAGAATTGAGTTGACTAGACCTCTCCATTGACTAGGATCCCTGAGAATTAGAGATTGGGGAAATCAATAGTTGTGACAGGCACAGGTGAAGATGCAGAGGGCTACATTTGTTTCTAACTTCTCCTTCTGTAGATTTGCATTCTGTGAAAAAAAATTAAGGCACACAGCACTGCTTTGTTTCTTATTCCTCCAAGAATTATTTGAGCATCAATAAGATAAATGACTACCATATTAATTAAAATGTATATCTTACAGTTAAATGCAGTAACATATTTCAAATGTCTTACATGGTACCCAGGAGTCCAGATGCCAAGTGGTTACCTTATAGGGCAGTAGGAGACCTGGGGGACAATGGTCAAGACCTCAGCTGCTCACAGGAAGTTCATCATTTCAAACCCACCAACAGCTCTGCGGCAGAACAGACCAGGCAATCTGCTCCCAGAAAGACTACAACTTAGGAAACCTGATGGTTTCTGTTCTCAGCCCTCCTCTGTCTGGTAAAGGAACTATAAATCTAACTTGACCCACCAGCACACCGCAGCCAGAAGTGTGGTAAATGCTCAGTAATTAGGAACTCCTGTTACCTTTACTATGTCTGAGACTACATAATAGGTGGTAAGTTCCTTATGAGTAATTGAAAATGAGATTTCATGAGGGCTTGAAGACAGGGAAATTCAAATTTGGGCAGATCATCAGTGAAGCTTCATAGAGCGAGCCCTTGAATTTGACCTTTGAGAGGATGAGTACTACATCATGCTGAAGGCACAAGAAAAGCAAACACAGAGGAGTTAGAAAAGTCCAGTGGGCATTTGGGGTAACACAAATGGGTACTGTGCCTACCTGCTGGTTACAGGTAAATGTGGCAATGGAGGCAAGGCTGCAAAGAAGGTCAGACCATAAAATGATGGCAAGGATTTCATGGTCAAGCTGTATTTAGCTCTTCCTTCCTGAGACAGTAGGCAGACTTGCATGTGCAAAGGCTGTTAAGCCAAAGAATATGTTAAATCGGAGGGTGTGTTAGGCCTGGTTGACTAGAGAAATGAATACAGAGATACTTACATATGTATAAGAAAGAGGTTTATATCAAGAAGTAATTATATATCAAGGAAACAGCCCAGCCCAGTCCAACTCAAGTCTATAAGTCTGATACTCGTCCATAAGTCCCTCTCCAGACTCACACAGCCACATGCAATGGTGCTGAAGGCAGGAAGAGCACAGGCCGGTGGGTGCAAAGTCGTGTGGATCCAAAGTTGGTGGGAACATGGCAGGGCTCGGAAGCTCTCAGGGTCACTATATAGAGAGGGGGAGGTTCCCAGACCTGTCCTTATGAGAAGGCCATGCCCACAAGGAGGCACCATCAGCCTGTGACCTGACTGACAGGTTGGATACCACCCCTACACTTTTATCTACCTTCAAGTTGACATAAACCTATCTATCACAGAGGGGGAATGTGTGTGTTTGTATAGATATCAGATGTTGACATTCCTGTTTTCACTTTTTTTGCCTGTGTACTTTTTTCCCCTCTGGTAAATCATGATGTTTCATGGAAATGCATTCCCTTTGGTCCTGTAAATTTTTCTAAATTACTGAATTAAGGATATTTTCTGAGGATCATATGGTTCACATGTTCCTTAGGACACTGCCATAATGTGGTTATCAACGATCCAGAGTTGGGAGTGACTTTTTATTGGAGCCAGAACACCTGGGCCCATGTCCCAGCACAGCCAATAGCTCCACAGGCTTGAGAAGTGCACCTTCCTTTTGGGGTGGTGGTGCAGTGGTTATGCATTGACCTGTAACCACAAGGTCAGCAGTTTGAAACCCCCAGCAGCTCCACAGGAGAAAGACAGAACTTTCTACTCCTATAAAGAGTTAGTCTTGGAAACTCGCAGGGGCCGTTCTCCCCGGTCCTAAAGGGTCATTCTGAGTGAGTTGGAATCAACTCAATGGGAGTGAATGAGAGAGTTTCTGGGCCTCAGTTGTCTTACATGTAAAAGGAAAAGTTTATATTAGAGAAAACTCCCCTACAGTGCCGGGCACGGCACAAGTCAGGCTAGCAGCAGCATCTGTTGAAGCCTCGTGTGCCCAGTGTTGTATGTGGCACTGTGTGATACAAGAAAGGGGAACATCACTAGCAGAAGCCAAATTATTTTTCCCCTAATAACACAAAGCCTGTACTATAATCTCTGGTTTGTGTGAACACTGTTAAAAGGGTGAGGGACCACTAGAAAGGAAAAAGAGATTCAACAACCTCCCTGAAGCATACTGGGCTGATTTGCACTGCTTTTCCTTCCCAATTTCTAAAGAGGAAAAAAAAGAAGTGGGATGTTTCTCGTAGACTCCCAACTCTCTTACTGTGGGAGTGCCCCAAATTACTTGTTTGATAGCAAATTGGTTCTAGACCAGTTCCCGTTACAGGACAAGGGGTCTAGCAAAAGCCTTTGTTTCTCATGAACTGCTCTCTAATTGGGCAGAAGGTAATCACAGATATAAAAGGATTGAGAAAATGCTGTAGCCATTTGCTCTCCCTTCAGCTTTAGGTAGCGCTTTTGTTAAACAGGGATCATTGAAACCTTGTTGATGGAAACTGTTTTCAGGGCTGTTGCAACTGGTTCAGGGTTGCTAAGCAACCTTCTGGGCTAAACTCCAGCACCAACTCCAGCTGATTAAACCTCCAGAGATAAAGAGTGGGGTTAGGACCAGAGAGCTTCCTGATTTGATCATCATTACAGTGGCTGCTAAACAGAGGAAGGGAGACAGCCTGTGCTAACTGGCAGGTGTTGTGTCGGTACTTTTATATGCACTGATAGCCCTTACAGGTGTCAAACTGTCTCACAAGACTCGTAGTAACACCTCAATTTTAGAGATGAGAAATCAATACCAAGAGAAGTTAACAACTCATTGAAGACTACACAGAAAATAGAACTTCGAGCCAGTATTGCAGTTCAGAATACAATACCTGTGTTTTTTCACCCAGAATGAAAGTGTAGGTGGGCAAAATTATAGCCCAGGCAAATAGGAGGGGAAAAGAGGAAAGACGATGTTCTAAGAGTTAGTAGCAACTTTTTAAAAATAAAGAGACAAAACTTCCGAGGTAAATAATTAATTTTAAATTACAAGTTATATATAATGGGTACGCTATTAAGAAAAAAGTTAATGAACTATCAAATTCCATGAGAGAGAGAGTTATGAAATGAATTTAGAACACATGTCCAAGGGCCTACTGCTGCTAAAATCTCCTCACTACCTGCTAAAATCTCCTCACTACCTAGTCCAGGTCAGATTATATGAGGAGGCTTTGAAAGATTCATGGGAAAATTCTATTATCTTTTCATCCCACTCTTCCACGACTTTCTTGAGGTCTCCTTGTAGAATCATTTTTATTTTAGGTGGCCCTTCATGATGTTTTAACAATTGTGAGGATGGGGCCAGGTGAGAGAGCATTTTGTTGTGTTGTATACAGGTGGCCTTCTGGCACCTAACAACAACATATGAGAGAAACTATTCCAGACTCGCTATTTGTAGTAACCAATTTAATCTGCTCACAACCCTTCTGGATACATAAAGCGTCAAAAAACTCATGGAAAAATGGAATGAAAAGACAATGGATTTTGTTCATGTACTCTTTGAAGTCTCCCTGCTACTTTATAGCTGAGGAAACAGCTGCACAAAAGTGCTTTATGCACGTGCCCTTGTGTCTGGACTAGCTGTGGGCGGCAGCACAGCCATGCTAGGCTCCAGACCCTTCTAGTGTCCACGTCTATGGGTAGCTACCCCAGAGGCACTCCCATAAGGACTGTGTCCCTGACTAGAACCCACCCCAAAGTGGCTGGAATTCTACCTCATTTGAACTCCCTTAATAAGGCTTGAAATCCTAGTAAAAAGTCCTTATTTTTTACCTCATATAGAGGTAAAAAGGCAAGGTGGTTTTGATGAATGCATGTTAGTATCGATCCTCTCTGCTTTCTACCGACCAGCACCAATGATGACAATGAGACCCCACTGGATTCACCTAACCTATCTCATGCGCTCTCTGAGGTCCTGTCCCCTAGGTCTGTCCCCTGATCCTAGTCCAGCAACTAGCTCAGGACAACCACTCGATATTTGTAGAACGAGCTGCGCCTCTTCTATCAGCTGGAACATTTGCCAATCTTCTCTAAGGAACGGCGCTGGTGCAGTGTTATTCATTGCGCCTGCAAACCACAAGGTTAGCAGTTTGAACCCCACAGCCACTCTGCCGCTTAAAGGTTTATAGCCCTGCAAACCCTATTGGGCAGTCCACTCTGTCTTATAAGGTCTCCAGGAGTTGAAATTGACTCAATAGCAGTAAGTTTGGGATGTTTTAGAGAAGATATCTTTAAAAATTTTTAATTTCAATGATCTGGCAATGTACAAAATTTCTGCCGACTTTATGGTCTTTCCATTTGGGAGCCTCTGCTTGTACCTCCTGCTGTTAGCACCGATGCAGACACCCACCTTAGTCTCTTACTGTGTATCCTAAGAAATTCAGTCCAATCACATGTTTATAACCCAAGATGCTTATGCTGTTAATTTTGGAAGTAATGTTGATAGGAAAAGAGGATCACAGCTTGGAGGCCAAGATGTGTCTCACCTCCGCGTTTCCCATTCTCTCGCTCTCGATAGATTGATAGATGATACGCAGAGGGACAGAAAGGAACCATGTGTGTAGATTCTCTCACTTACCCCAACTCCGTGAAGCACTGAAGGATTTCCTTAGCTGGACTCACCTTCTAAAGAACCAAACCGAAAAACCAAACTCATGGCCAACATGTCAACTCTGACACATGGCAACCCTAAAGGACAGGTAGAGCCACCCCTGGGGGTTCCCAAAACTGTAACTCCAGCAGAACCAGATAGAAAGCCTCATCTTCCTGCAGAGAAGCAGCTGGTGACTTTGAACTGCTGACCTTTTAGTGAGCAGCCTAACTCGTGACCACTCCACCACAAGGAGCAGTTCCAGTCAAATTCCTCGTGACCCCATGGTCCACTCAACACTTACAGACAATATAAGGGGGTCTTATTCTGCTCTCCAGGCTAATAGAATAATTTTTCTAACTCTTCATAGATTGGATGAAGTATGAAGTCCTAAAGATATAGTGGCTAACCTCTCTTGTCTCCCTTCCCCAAGATCAATGAACTCAGTTTCCCTTTATAACAACAATTACCCCTCTCCAATATTGCTATGAATTTTAGTGGGGTTGCAAATGGAGTTTTTTATTCCCAGTCAAGAGAAACCATGATAGGAGAACAAAATTTACAATAAACTCGTTTGAGTACTTCCTGTGTGAATGGCACTGTGCGAAGTCCATCTAGATCGCTTTGTTTAAACAGCCTTAGGCAAGTTAACTAACTTGTTCAAGGTCACAGAGCTACTGAGCAATAGAGTCTGGATACTCAGTACCCCTTATTCAAAAGCCTTGCAGTTTAGTGCCACCATAGATTTTCACCAGCAACGTAAACATTTAGCAAGACAGAGCTTTCCATTTCCTGCTTGCATACGATCAGAAGAGACATTAGATCCATAAATATGAAAGTACAGATCTTCCCAGGACATTGAGAAATACAAACAGAAGCTTCTGAAAGAGATCCAAGAACATGCTCGAGGAGAGCCACTCAGTTTGCGTGCCTTCGGGTAGTTTTATGGGAGGCAGATAAGCCAGGACAGGCTCTTGAATGAGCTCCCCCTTTCCATCGTGAGCCAAGGCCTTGGCCCAGCAACTTGTGCTTTCTGTTAACTCTCACCCTCCCACAAACATACCCATACCCCACCTGCAAGCTGACTCTCAACCAATTGGGTTTGTGTTTTCGTTCGTCCGGTTTCTATGGGAGCGGGGAGGATAGGTCAGATATTAAGGGAAGTATAGTTAATGGTTCCGACCACTCTATCTTGAGGCCCCTACTTCCATAAAGAGATGCAGTTTCAGAAACCCACGGGGGCTGTTCTACTCTCTCCCACGGGGTTGGAATTGACCCGATGGCAGTGAGTTAAGTCTTGTAGTGTAGTCTACACAGCAAAAATAATTCAGCTTTCTAATAGCCACTAATTTCTTTTTATTACAGGGGCTCACCAGACAGAGATGGAATTGTAAGTATTTAAATGATCATTTTTAGTAGGATTACACCTGGGCATATGCTTTAAAACAAGAAAGCCCACTTTTCTTCTGCAGGTGAAAAATCGCTCGAATGACTTAGACTGCTTGCGATTGAAATGTGCTGTAGTAATTGCATGGGAAATCAGCGCAGTGTGGGTCAAATTAGACTTGGGTATTGCATTCACCTAAAACCCTGCCCCAGAATAAGCAAGCCAACAAATCATCTACATTGAGTCAAAAGCCAGGCAGTTCATGCAAGGGCTGCTTCCATCAACGGTGATTTCATTTGGGTTTAACAATGTAAAAGCTCATTTTGTGGGGAGGTTTGTTCTCCACCAGAGAACAGAGTCATAATGGGTCTGAGCGCCGATAAAATTGGAAGACGCCTTCCCCTTTTATAATTGAGCTGCAGACCCAAGTTCTTTATTAAATTCCCAAGTTAGAGAATGGTCTGGAAACCGCTGACGGCCGAGTGTACAGCCTGAAGGAAGAGCGCGTGTCCACTGGGTTTCACTTCAACAGCCGTGCCGACTCCTCACTGGTTGCCAGACTTCTTGCCTTTGCCCCAAGAAGTCTGTGGAGCCCGGGCTGGGGGTTATCTGAGTTGCGGTTCTGGGAGTCTGCACCCACTACTAAAATGACTTCCTTCAAATCTAAATCAGATGCCTATTCAGAAGGTTCAAAAGAACAGCTGTGACTGACAAAAAAGAAAGGAAAAAAAAAGGTAGGGGTGGGGGCAGCTCACAGAAGGCTCATTGGGCTGGAATGGGAACTAAAATAAGCGTGGAGGTTAAAAATATTTTCTGAGACATCACCCTTTATTACATTATACCTTGATGGGGTGTTCATTGCTGCTCTAGCCGGGGCTTTTCGTCCACACTTGACCTAAGGTTCTAAGCACTGGGGTGCCTTTTGCGTTCATGTTGCGAAATGTTGATAGACTGAAATTCATCAGACATTGGGTAACACTGTAATCAAGGCTCTATTCAGCAGGGGCAAAAAGAGACCCAGAAGACCCAGTTTCTCCTCACCTCTTGCTTCTGGCTCAGAGCCCTCTCCTTAACTCTGTCTCAGGTACTCTCTCTTCCGTGTCTTCTCTCTGCTTCTGTCTTGGTCCCTCCCTGGGTTCTCTTGTCGCCTCCATTCTGACCTGTGCATTCTCTGCTTTCTATCCCCGCTGCTTCCAGACTGATTGCTGTTTACTGCGTCTCTCCCTCTATCGCCCTCTGTCTTGCCCATCTTTTCCTTCTCTGAATCCTCTCCCCACCCTGTTCCTTGTCTCCAAGGCCTCATTGTAGCCGCTTTGATCTCCTGAGGACCACAAGTCCAAATCTCTGGGTAGAATAGGTGCCACAGTGCCTGGTCCAAAACGAACACAGAGCAGGCAAGCAGGTGCACTGGCTGCCTGAATGACGCCCACAGCAACCCACGGGGCTCACCCATCCTCCACGTACCAGCTCCCTGAATCCGACTCTTCAGAGCGTCGAAAGTCCTATGTTAGCAGTTCTGCCCTCTCGTCATTTAATTGGCAGTGCCATAAATATCACTAGTCATGATGACTTGAGAAATGTTAACTCTGATTTCCCAGGAAAGAACACAGACCTGTTCTGAAGCAGATGGCATTCAAAATAGGGCATGTTCTCAGAATCAGAGTGCTACCATTTGGAAATTTTCCCCATTTGTTTATACCCCATTTGCCATTTTTGCCAAGTTCTGAGAACTCCTTACCCTTCTATCGGAGTGTCAGTTGCCTTCCATCCTTAACGATGTCAACCTGAATTTCTTTGAAACTCAGGCTGATTTCTCTAAGGCCGTGTGTTTGTGGGCCTACATCACGTTTGTGTGTGCTGTATTTAACTGCCAAATGGTTTTCCTCTGTACATTGAGAGTTGAAATGTACGGTATGCCTGGTATGGGGCCACAGACTACCAATGGTGGTTCACTCGCCTGTTGTCCACAAACCACGTGGTAAACACAGAGCTCAGACAGCAGCCCTGGTACCCTGATGTTTTATTTAATTGCAGTCTCTCGAAACACAGTCAAGCCCTTCTCTAGGGATAATGCTTTTGATATTTTCAGAGACTTCTCAGAAGGGCTGCATGCCTTGCAGTTGGCTTGCCTTGCACACTGCTGGCTGGGTGCACCCATCCTGGTAGAGCTAATTTTCCTCTGTCTGAGACATCAGCTGTATGCAATATTGCCTTCTAGCCCAGACAAACATTTGTTTCTGTGCAAAGTCAAGCATGACCTTCTGTAAGCACTTCAGATTTCTATCCAAGATTGGGAGCCTTGTGGTCCCAGCCATTGCCGTGAGGGACCCATTTTGCTCCTCCTGCACAGGAGTGCAGGAAAGGGTACAAAGAAGGGGGGCTGTCAGCCACATGTGTTATATGTATTGGGGTCCCTCAAGAAAACCTTGTTTCAGGAATGGTAGAGCTAGACCTTCCCACTTAGCTTAGAAACATAACTGTTTCATTTGGTCTTTTCTGATGTGTCTTGGTGTCTGTTGTCTGCCTATAAATGAAGTGTTGGCTGAGTGAGGAACAGATTCGCGTGGTCCCATTAGCCTGGGGTGCATCTTCCTCCTCCTCCCTTCTTCTCCTGGCCTAGCCAAGACGGCCTGCTGAATAGAGCCTCATTATAGGCCCCAAAGTCCGCTCTGCTTCCGAGATCCTGCCAAGATTGGTAGGCCCTCCAATTTGGCCTAGAAATTGTTTCTTCTGTGATGTGTTTGCTGACTCCGTGTGACTCTTTATATGTGTCTCAAAGAACAGGCAGACCTTTAACAACTCTTTTCTACATTAAAACAATCAGTTCCAGCAGCCCAGCCCACATGAGCCACCCTACCATAGCAAAACAGAGTGTGCACGGGAAGGAGGAAAAAAAGTCTCGGTAAGGAAACAGATTTTAGTTCAAAATTTCCGAGGGGTTGTAGAAACAGTGACTCAAATCCCACAGTGAAATTTGGAGGAAAGAGAAAATAGCTTTATTTACCCCATTTCAGAAGACGTTTTAGATATCCCAAAAGACTTATTGAACAATATCTGGAGTCAATTTTTATACTACTCATATAGCCTATCGATATCTCACTGTTCTTTTAGAAAGAATTATTAAGCATGAAAAAAATGTGTGCATCCTAGGAAAAGGACCATAACTCAAATCTTAAAAAGAATCTGCTATATATTAAGAAGTATTTAGCTATGAGCCATCATCACCTTACAAATGGAATCGTAGTTTGCTAGGTTAAGCACTATCTATCGTAACATCAGGAACCTGCAGACCTTGGTCTGTGGGAACCAGTACTCTTGATCAAAGGATGCCGAGTCAAGGAGGCCAATCCCAATTCAGTCTGTGCAGACGTCTATGGGTGTGTGCGCCATCCATTATGGTAGCCGCATGTGGCTATTTAAATTGAATGGAAACTTAATTCTTCAGTCACACGTGTCACATTGAAAATACTAAATAGCCACTCATGAATATTGGCACTATATTAAAACATATTTAGAATATTTCCAGTTCTATTGGACAATGCTGTTATATCTCATTATTTACAGTGTGAGTTACACCTTCCTCAGTAACAAAGATAGAGTATAGACATAGTATATCCTTTGTCTCTACTACTTCTCATTCAAGGTTTGCTCTGTGGTCATGAGCTAATCTTGGGAAGTGGGAGTATTGGCAATGAAAATTTCAAGCTTTGATAGAAATAAATTGAACACAGTTGCCATTATATTAATACTTTAGCCTATCATAGCCTCCGAGGACACCTAATTAAACCTAACCAAAGTAAAATATCACTTAAAACAAGATGATCACTACTGTGGGTCTTGATTATCTTTAAATAGCAATCATGTTATTTAGGTTATAAAATTACTTATGCTAAGTGTAGAACTTTAATGAAAAAGTATAACTATTCATAATTCCAATTCCAAGAGAATTGTTGTTGAGAAGCCGGCAGTGTTTTCACCGTTCAGGCTGGTCTTTACGTGCCTCTTGTTTATGCTCTTCCTTGCTTGTTCAAAGTCTTTCCATTTGAAAATAAATAAAACCATTCCCTTACCTTTACCACTTATATGTGCTGTTCTTTGCTTAACTGGCCAAATTGTGAGAATCTGTGGGGGGTGAGGGGTGTATCTGTGGCATGTGTGTGTGTGTGTGTGTGTGTGTGTGTGAATCTGTGTGTGTGTGTGTGTGTGTGTGTGTGTGTTGAGGTTTGAGCTGAAGAATTCCTGGCAGGCTGTGGCTTAGCTTTAACCTGGCAATTGGCACAATGTATTTTTAAGAGTCCACTGGAATAAATGAAGTCCAGTTACTAATTTATCTAATAAAGCCATGCATGCATGTGTTTGTGTGTGTGTGTTGCACATCTGCCCAAAATAATCTATTGTATTAATCTGTTGTTTGGGTTTAGCATTTTTAAATGTTCTATTTTAACAAAAAAATTATAGATTTTTATCTTCACTCCAATCCTTCATGAGTTTCCATGGAAACTAGAATTTTTGCACTCATCCAGATTTAGAAAATTCAGACTATTTTTTTCTCTAGTGTTGTATCTGTTATCAGAAATATATATATATATACATATATATATATATGAAGTTGTTCAGCTAAACAAATATATAAACTGCTTTAGTTTTGAAGGGCTGTGGTTTGGATTATGAAGATGAGATTATCATGGAAGCAAACTATATGATTGGAAAATGTTGAACTCAGTAATAGACCAAATCTCTTTGATATTTGAATACCAATCTAAAAACCTTCTCTGTAGTGAGGTTTTATTAAAGAAATTAATAGATCTATTAACAGCAAAATTGTGTAACAGATAGTACACAAAATTCATAAGTTCAGTACTTTGGAATCAGCTTGGTTTATCTGATTTCCCATTATTTTAAATTAAAAGTTAACTGCCTATATTGAACTTATTTGTAACTTGTGCTTTTTAAGAAGGATTTAAGGTATTTTTTAAAGCCATATGAAGATAGATTGGTAAAGAATAATTCTTTTAATAGAAAGCATGCTTTCTCCCAGGGGAGAGAAGTGTGTCTTTGTCTATGTGGTTTTTGTCTGGTTGGTTGGCTGGTTGGGTTCTTACTAAGTAACTTATAGAGTGTATAGATGTAGAGTTGATGTGGCCATTTTCTAAAGCAACCTTGTCAAAATAAAAAGAATAATCACTTTTTTAATAATGTCAATTCTAATTGGATCAGGCCAAGGTGGGAAAGACCTGGGTGTCATGTCTCTAGATGCTACACAGAGGAACCATCGCAAAGCCCTTAAATTTGTAATGAGTGCGGTGTTGTCATATACAGGAGGAGAGAAGGCAAGAACACATCATCTATCCCTTGTGCACTATTTTGCCTTGCAAAGCTACTGTCAATTCCTAGAATGCCCAGTCAACATTTCATAAATGTTAGTCAATGATGATGATTATTCTGGGTTACCTCTAATCCGGTTGTCTTGTGATCTTAGATGCATTTATGAAAAGGTTACCTCTCCTACCTATTTGTTAAATTGGGTGTTAGCTATTCACATTGTAGTTCAAATGCCCTTTACTTGTAATTGCAGAATTAGAGTTCCTGTCCTCAAGCCTCTTGCCTCTATGTGCTGCTCTAAGCTAAACACGGCTCTGTGTGCGGAATGCAGTAATGTTGAACGACTTCTCATTACCAGTCTGATCTGTGTCTGTGTCCTTTGTCCTCAAAGCAGAGAGAATCTTAGTCATAGCTGTGTGGGTGATGCTTCATCCTTGTTCAAGTGTGTGTGGCCAGAGGCAGACATTGTACTAAATAATTCAGAGAGAATAGCGCCTGATATACTTCCAACCTGTAACAGTGTGTGTTTGTAGAGCCATAGTCCCCATGAGTGACTGACATCCACAATTAATCCCTAAATCCCATTTTAATAGTTTCATAAGAAAACCACTCAAAAAGAACACCAATACCATTTTTAATAACTAAGAGCTGAATTAACTAATTTGGAGATTATTTCCTGTATATTCTATTGAGGTTGGACCAAAGTCAGTATCCTAATAACTGAAGGAAGATCCGGGAGAGACATCGATGAATGCTCTTTCGATGTGTTGGAGCTAATGTAATAGAAAATCAACATGGAAGTCAAATGCTTCCTTTTCCCCCCAAGTATGGTTACATCACCTGATGGTATTAAATTCTAATTCTTCAGTGGTTCAATTAAATTTGATGCACTGATTGTTACCATCCCTCTTTTAGATCTCAGGTCTTTTGTGAAATGAGGATGTAAGTTCTTCCATGCAGGGTCCCGGTAGCTAACTCCACCATTCAGCTGCAACAATGTGCTTCCACAATAGTGTGGGATTCTGAGCGCTCTTGCTAAGAGTTAAATGTTCATTGTTCCCTGTTTTTATTTAGATATTTGCCTTCTAACTTTATTTTTCAATTTATTACAGAAGAAAAGCAATGGGGCACCAAATGGATTTTATGCAGAAATTGATTGGGAAAGATATGTGAGTATCAAAAGATTCTTTTTTTCTTTATTAAAAATGTCACAACTTAAAAGCAAGTTGAGGCATTCCTTTAATTACAAAGAGGATGTAGAAGGAAATGCACCGCTCTCCAATCTCATTCGGAACCAACCACCTGGCACATCGAAAGTGGTATGTAAGTTCAGTGGATGTATCTGTGGGACTGAGTTCACATGAGAGCTGTATGTCTCCTTGGGATCCATTGGAGCCCTGGTGATGTAAAAGTTAAGCACATGGCTGCAAACCATCAGCTGCTCCATGGAAGAAAAATGGGATCGTCTGCTCCCACAAAGAGGCACAGCCCTGGAAACTATCTGGGGCATTGCTACTTTATCCTATAGGGCCCTGATGAATTGGACTCAACCCTAGATTGTTAGCCTTGTTGCAAAGATTCAATAAACTAATTATTTGAAGACAGTCCAGAAGTCTGCCCAGTCTGTAGAACATGTCTTAAATTATGTCTGTTTCCGCCCTGGTTCCTTTTTCCTAAGTAGCTTTGAGAACCAAGGCAAGTCAATTAAGTTCTGTAGACCTCGGTTCATCACAATCATTGGAGCTTCCTAGTACAGGTTTTCCCCAGTCAATGGCAATCACTGTTGCTTCTCAGGGAGTGAGCATAGAGCCCAGCTGACACCTACACTCTCCTCATTCTTCCTCCAGAAACTGATTAGCATCATCACCATAAACGCCAACCACAGGACAGTCACAATTGCTGTTGAATTTCTATTCATTTAGAACTGATCATATTTCATCAAAGATAGTTTCTGTTGCATAGTAGATGCCCCACCTCACAGTTCCTCAAAATACCTATACACTCAGTCTTCAGGTGATTGTCCCACCTATACCTTTCCTTTCATAAAGGATAAGTTGATCTTAAAGCATCTACAGTTTGTTAATAAAATTCTTATTTTTCTAATAAAAAATACTGCCAATTACTGAATGCTCATTTTTTTGTCAAGCATAATATTAAAAGCTATTAAATCACCCCTAAAAATAAATATTATATTATTGCCATTTAGAGGAAAGAATCCCAAGGCTTCAAAATGTTAAATTACTCCTGCTTTCTATTCCTAGTAACCACTCCCCAAATAAGGATACAATTCTTTTGTCACCCTCACCTCCTCGGCCTCTTTGATAGCTGTTCCCCAATATCGCAATCTTTTGAGTATATTTAGCAGTTACTTTTCTTTGGATCTATGAAATCCTTTTCGATAGACTAAATCCAAATTATCTACAATGTTATATGCAACCTCCCAAGACCGATTCTCACATCCACTGAGTTGATTGTGACCCTATGGGACAGATTTTCTACCCATGGGACAGACAGGTAAACTGTCCCTGTTGGTTTCTGGAAGTATTTAAAGGAGCGGAAATCTTTGTCCTTCTCCCAGGAAGTAGACTGCTGGACCCGAGCAATTGACCTTGTATTTAGCAGTGCGACCCCACCAGATGCCGGGACTCCTTGTTACGGCAAACTCCAAGACAAATTCCCTGCCGGCAAGTCGACATCATTGATTCTAACTACAGGACAGGCTAGAACTGTCCCTGTGGCTTTTGAAGAATTTCTACTCTTTATGGGAGCAGAAAGCCTTGTCTTTCTCCAAAGGAGTGGCTGGTGGTTTTAAATTGCCGACCTTGTGGTTAGTAGCCCAAAGTGTAACCAAAGCATCATCAGGGCTCTTTGTTATAGCAAAGCTGCTAGATATTAAGAAATGGTGCTTTCTTGGCCAAAAAGTTATTCTTTTTGAACTAGAAAGATTTTTTTAAAGTATGTGGCATCTTATAAAACATAGGATAAATATAAATAACGTATAGGATAAATATAAAACAAATCAAATACTCCAAGCAAACAAGAAATTGGAAATTATTCACCCAATAAATACTACACACTAACTTCAATCTACCAGACAAACGTTAAGCTCTTGGGCTGCCCTGGGCCAAATACGGCGCTTACTTACATAGTCTCAGAAACTCTATAGGGCAATTCTGTTCTATAGGGTCACTATGAGTCAGAATAAACCTGGCAACAGTGGGTTGGTTTTGCTGGCAAGATTGTTATTAGAGTTCAGTGAGGTAAAGTGTAAGTCATAATACTTAACATCCAATAGCAGCTCAAATTTGATCATACTAATCCTAATCCTCGAGGGCTTTGGTGGCATTAGTGAGTTACACGGTGGTCAGCAGTGTGAAACCACCAGCCGCTCCAGAGGATGAGGCTTTCTACTCCCTAAAGAGTTACCACCTCAGAGCCCACGAGGGAAGTTCTACTCCTTCCCATGGGTTGCTATGAGTCAGAATCAACTCCTCAACAGTGATTTTTGAGTTTAATCTTAATACTGCAAACTTCCTTCTGTCATTCCTATTGTTAAAATTAGCATACCCAGGGGTTCCAGCCCTTTCCCAGGATTTGAGGGTGGAAGCCATCGAGTCTTCCTGAACCGACCTCTTTTTTACCCCCTCCTATGACTGATCTGTTACCAAGAACTAGCAATCCTACAAATGCCCTTGATTCCTTCCATCCCCTAAATTATTTGATCTATAGCCTTGGTATATCTTAACCTGAAGTGATGCAAGAACTTTGAATGAATTTTCCTGTCTCCAGTTTCTTCGACCTACGATCTATTCTGAAGCATATTTCCAGAACACCATTAAAACTCATGTCCTAATTGAGAAGTTGCAGTAGCTACATCCAATCCCTCATATGAGGGTTTTTACACCTGCCACAGGTCTTTCCAGTATTATTTCCCATGTCACCCTAAATACAGCTTCTTTTCCGCTCATGTCACATCTCTCTCTTTCTCTCTCTCATGCACACACGCATGCACACATGCACATCATGACTCCTACAATGTCCATTCCAGGCTTGGGGGTCTCAGCCAGGCTCCTCCTGACCAGGTAGAAAGGACTCCACCTTACCCTCTACTATCTCTTCTGAAAGTCCAGGCACACTTTCCTGATTCTTCCAAACCTAATTAATTTTGTCTTCCTTTAAATCTATTTAATGTTTTACATTGTATTTTCCCCATTTTTGTCAAATGTGAGGGTAATTCAAAAAGTATTGCTTCTAGGGTTCCAGTTCATGCATGTACAGGTTTATTCCAAACAAAACATGTTTCAGTGTGCCTGCGTGAGCAGTGGATGGCTACAGACGTCCTACAGAAAATGATACATTCGCTTTCGTTTCAGCAGAGCACCTTCAAAGCACAGGGTTCAACTACAACAATGACTTTCTTGGGCATCCGCTGGGTCAGTTAAGCTCAAGGGTGATTGGTCAGCTCAGAAGGCTCTGGCAATTGATTTGGAGGATCTTCACCCCCACCCCCACCCCAGAGTTAATCTTGACAGAAGTCCTTCAGGAACACAGGGTTCTTCTGGGAAGTTGTTAAGAAGAGATGTAAGGAGATTGAAAGTTGCATTCGTGAGAAAAAGGGCAGGAAGTCTGCTCTCAGGAATTCTTTTCCATCACAGCGATGCACCTGCTCTTCCTTCACGGGAAGCAGTGACCGTGCGGTGCTGCACAGCTACCCGATCTCCCTCCAAAGACCGCTCCTTCAGTCTTCTCTTGGCCCCCAGACTCAAAGAGCATTATACAAGAGCATGATCTGAGTGCCTCCAGTACGCTAGAGCTGTCTCTTGATATGGTAACAACTGGAGACCACAGCCCTCTCTGGGTCAGGTTAGAGAAATGTAGAGTACCCTCAGAAGTTTATAGATATAGGCCATGTTGAGAAACAGGTGCTTCATATTTTAATACTTTTGTTTAATAAAGCTTTCTCTGATTTTATAATATGGTTTTTTATATGCCCTAATATTTTTCAATTTCTCGAAGGACAGATATTTGCATTTTGTCTCCCTCGTGTCTCCTAGTATAATCCTTGGCTTAGAGACAATCCATGATAAATTCTCCTTGATTGCTTTGTCTCATGGGCAGTTGATTCCTAGCTAATTTGCCCAATACAAAGAGGCTCCAAGCCTCCTTTAGTAACTACCTACACATGTACTTCTCAGCATTTACTTCCAAAAGCTACAATCTCTGTCTCCACTAATAAGAAGGGTGCCTATGTCTTCAGATAGCCATCTCCGGAAGCAGAGTTGGTCATCATCAGGATGCTAATGTGCACTTGTGTTTTCTAGAACTCCCCTGAGCTGGATGAAGAAGGCTACAGCATCAGACCCGAGGAGCCTGGCTATATCCTTCCTTTCTTTCTTCCTTAACCTCTGACTTGTCGTCTTGCTAAGCAAACAGTAAGATCAATTCAGGTTTTACAAAACTGTGGGAATAACCCACGACTCCCAAACTCTGCTGTTCCTAATATCAGAGCTGAATAAGCAGCATAGAGCACAAGCTGGTCATCAACAAGCAGGCATTTTGCCTTGGTCTATTCATAGAAGTGAGGGCGAGGCAAAGAAGAAATACATGCTGAGAAACAGCTGGGCCAATTGTGGGGAATGGGTTGTCTGCTAAGAGCGGACGTGACTATATCACAAATGGGTAATAGCTCCCTACGTGTCCTGTCCCCACAATTCCTCTCTGGGCAGAGCATGTAACTACTCTGAAACATTGAAAACTCATCACATACCATCCATTAAATCACCTTCCTCTGTTGCTAGATCAGTAAGCTCACCTGAGCCTGTTTCCGGGCATACTAATTACACTGAAAAACACCCACTCCCACGGAGCGGATTCCAGCTCACCACAACCTGGGAGGACAGAATAGACCTGGTCCTCCGGGTCTCTGAAACTGCAGTGCTTAGCTCATTGGGCCACTGGGCCTTCCCAGATGCTAAGGCCAAACAAACGGTCAACTGCAACAAAGACGTGGGACATTATAACCATTGCACCTTGAATTTCACAACCCTTAAATCAATCATGGGCTGAGGAAGGCTGAGGAAACCTTGACCCTTTCCTCCGTTGCTTTTCATTTTTGTCAGCTGTGGCATTCTGCCATCTCAGGAGCCTTTTTCCGACTGTGTGTAGTCATTCTGATCTCACAACGTTCTGATCTTTAACTGTGTCCTACCTACCAAAGGAAAGCACTTTTATTCTTCAAGCGAATCAGAAGAGGAGGAAGAATCCCACAAGAAATTTAATATCAAGATTAAACCATTGCAATCAAAAGACATTCTTAAGAATGCTGCAACTGTCGATGAGCTGAAGGCGTCGATAGGCAACATTGCCCTCTCCCCATCGCCAGTGGTGAGTTGCTCCTCACGGTAAGCTCTCAGGAGCTTGGGCAGAGGGCTGGCTCCTGCCCAGGCTCACTCAGCAGGTCAGAACTCCGAACACGCAGGCTGGATGTGGTCCCCATCTTATGAACACCAGAAGCCTGAAGCAGCGCATTCTAGATTTAGAAAATTCTCCTCGTGCTACAGTTCTTGTATTAGTTAAAATAGTAAAAACACTTGGGACTGTATTTCCTTTTGACTTCGTTTTCTGCAAGTATTTTTAAAAGAAGGAAAAAATAGCAAAACAATTTCTGATGTTTGTCTTTAGCAGAATTAGCAACGAAAAACAAAAGGAAGTTCAGACGTTTACAAGCAGCAACTTTTTAAAATCCTACTTCTTTTTTTATGATATGTCGTATCAAAGTGCGGGCGGAAAACCAGGAAATCACTTCCTTTAAAAAAGAAAAGCTTTTTGTTGTTATGATCTGATAAAAACCATAAATCTTCTCTAGAGCTATCATCTAAACAAATTTAAACTCATTATCAGCATTATATTTTATTATCACATTGTCTTAAATGTATTCATCCTTCATCTATCTCAGTGGCAGGTACTCTTCATCATATTATTCAAACCAAACTAGTATTGTTTTCAATTTTTTCCCTCAAGTCCCACCTACTAAATTCATTTAATTGCTAAATTCTGAGCTCCAACACTCAAAATATTTTCCCTGTGGCATTTGCTAAAAGTCACCACTGTTTTCTAAAACTAGCCAAAAGAGTAATTGAATGCTCTTAAAGTAGCAACTATTTCTGGTACATTGTTAGAATATCCTTTAAAGGTGTTTGTAGCATCCTTCTGAACATGGCCACAAGACAAAATTATTAATCCATGCTAAGCAGCTTCAGATGTGTAATTGGAAAGGTCAGCTAACCTATCTGAAAGGTTGTACTTACACTGGCCAACACACATTTTGGTGCCTCAAATGTTAAACTTGTTTCTGGGCATATTTAACCTGCTGATTCCAAAACTGACACCAGTTTTACCCTATCAGTTCTAGTTTCTGAGATACAGAGCCGATGATGTGTATCACTTTTCACTCTGCTCACCCATTAAAAAATCAGCATCTTTTAATGTAAGGTTAGCTAGGCTGAGATAGAGGAAGTGCACACTGGCCTTAAAGTAGTTTGTGCAGTACTAAATATTTAGGTAAGTTATACTTTTCATGGTGTCCTTTGATCCAAAGATATATTTGAACAGTGCAAATTGCATGAAATTCTTAGAATTTTCCCAAGTACCACTTCACCTTTATTAGGAACTGAATAACAGGAAGTTCCAATTTGTTATCTTAAAAGGGGACCAGAAATAAGAGTTACTGTACAATAAACAAGGAGCCTTGCTGGCATAGTGAGTTATATTTTTGACTGTGAACCACACGGTCAGCTATTCTAGCCCTTTAGCCACTCTGTAAGAGAAATATGAAATTTTCCATTCCCATCAATATTTATCCTCAAACCCATAGAAGTTACTCTCTGTCCTATTGGGTTGCTATGAATTGTAATTGACTGAGAGGTAGTGTGTTTGAGATTCAAATAAATAGAGATTCAAATATTCTGAAACCCAAACCAGGTCTGTCAGAGTTCAAACTCCTTTATTAAAATTAAACTGTTTCAGTCTTGTTATAAGGTGGCACAACTTCTCCACCTGTGCACAGAAACTCTTAAAAGTTATCATTTTCCTATAAAGAAGATGGACTTAACCTCACCACAGAAACATTTAACATGAGTTATTTATTCTATATATTAAAATGCGTTCTGAAATGTTTACTGCATCATTTGAAGAAGAAAAATGTTGATCTTCAAAATACTTATTAAAGTTGCAAGAAATGCTTACATTTGTGACACTCTAAATTGCCCTCACACCTTCCATATACGTGCCTTTTCAGTTTTCTCTATTTTCCAATCTTCTCAGGCAGTATGTGGGCTTTGCAGTCTCCCACCTACAGTCTCTGTATATACGCGCTTGCACCGCTTCTCATACCACAAAGAAAACCCACTGCCATCTAATTGGTTCTGACTCATGCTGACCCGTAAGACAGAGAAGAACTGTCCCTTTGGGTTTCAGACGTTGAACTCGTGTTAAAGGCTGCAGCGAGACTGGTGTATTCCAATCACTGATCCCATGATCGGCAGCTCAATGCACAACCAACTAGCCACCATGGGTCCAGTACAGCTGCCCTTACAAATCCCTTAATACCTAGTTCTTTTTCAAGTATTCCTTACCTTTCTTTGTCTGATCCTGTAAGTTGTAGGCTTGAATTCTTCTCCTGTTTAAAACTATGAAGATAAATTAACCAGTTAGTATAACTTAATAGTGGAACACCATGTCTAAGAAACTAGAGCTGATGCGGTCAATCCAATGTAACTTTCTGAATCAGCGCCCCAGTTGCTCCAGGAGGAGGCCTGAATACCAAGACACCAAGAAAACAAAGCTGTTGTTGTTGGGTTGTATTATTCATCCTTTGAGAATAAGCTTGTGCCTGCCTGCCTGCCTCTTGGTGCTTAGTGCTTGTAATGACCCTTACCACTGTTGTTGGCAGCCATTAAAATGATTGCTAAGATTAACAGCTCTAGAAAATGGTATCTTTCAGGGTAATTTTAATCATCTCCACACTGAAGACTCTTCCTTAGAGTGGACCTGGAAGTATATTAGTTTTCCTTTTGCGATGGAAGGTATAAACTAACTGGAAGCTCACTTATTGATCTGCGATGCCAATGATTTCTCCGACGGGGCATTTCGGTTTTATTTCTTTACTTTTCTTAACATTTTACTGTGTCTGTTAGTGAAGGTTTTCTTAGCACTTTAGGTTCCCAGTCAGCAAATTTCAAGTAAGTTGTTCAGCAATAGTGATTACATTTTGCCCCAGGGAATGAACATTCTTGATATATCTGTTCTGATCAGGATATTTAAAATATATACACTTCCATTTTGAAGTTGTCATTTTTTTCTTACCAGATACCTTTTGAAGTAGTGAAAAATTTACATATCTGAAAGCGGTTTTATCACGTCCTCTGTCGAATGTAATTAGCTTAGTGGACCTTCATAAAGTACCTGGGCTATGTGAAAGAAAAGGGAAGTTAACTGAATTAAATTTAAAAATTCATATGTAAGCAAACAAGAAAAATTCAAATTATTTGAAATGGACAAAGAGCGATGCTAGCAAAAGGAATGCAGAGATCCAAATGAGATCAGCTCATCATTTACCCAGATGTCTTTCTGGGAGAACGTCGGCGGGAGGGGAGCCTACTTTGAGCTTTCCCAACCATCGGTAAAGGAACACATGAGCATGAGGTGGTGACGACTCTGATGAAAAGACACAGTATGAGAACGAAACAGAGAACAGAGAGAGGAAGAGGCGTGTGCTATCGTTAATACTTTAAGGAAAGGTGAACACCCCCTGGATGTACAAGTGGGCAGAGAGTTATCACTGAAGATCCTCACCTCGTCTAGTATAGTCTGTGTGTACATGCACTCTATACATTATACATATATAGTCATGTCCAGAATAAGGAGAAATAAATTTTTGAAATCCGGTGGATACCATGATGAAAATGGCAAATTATTTGTATAATTTGAACGGTGTCCAGTCTAATGGCCAGACATTTATACATTTTACACATTTATACAGATGCTAAAAGAGAAATAGAGCCTACATCAATTAATGAAATACCAGAATATTTCCTTGAGGTTAGGGTTCTTGCACTACAAAAGTATCAAAGGATACATTAACATATTATAGAGGGAATTCCAAATGATTGGCTACTCAAAACAACAGTTTACATTAGATTTATGATTCCTACTTAATTTGAAGTTGTTGAGATAATGTACTTCATTTATTCTTTCATTCATATACATGAATATATATTTATGAATTATAGCCCATTGGATCTATTGTATTAATGTTTAAAATTTTTATTTGAATAGTTTTCCCATACATATAATGTGGTCAAATTATTCAATAAATGAGTACAATAAATCAAAATGAATAAATGCATGTATATGTATATCTGTGTTTAAGAGGGGCTTCAAATATTTATGGGGAAATTTGAATTAAAATATAATGGAATTTTTGCAGGAACTTTTTGAACCCCTCATATATGTGTGTGTGTGTGTGTGTGTGTATCTATATATACATACACAATATATAGATATATAATATAAACCTATCTAAAAATTAATCTTCCCTGAAACAATGCTTCAGCAACATAAAAAAATTAAGGTTTAGACTTCTGGTGAGAAGTCCACCATATAGTTACAAAATTAAATTTTAGTTCAGGTGTCACCTTGACCCTTCACTTTTTATATAAAAATATAATATCTTTATGCTGTCCTGAACAAGACAGAGCACCAAAACAGAAAAGAGGGTGGTACCAGTGTTGACTCAGGTAAGGGAATTTCATTCCTATTGGGATCACCTGGTTGTCCCTGCAATAAATGGTAATGGAGGTGGGCATATCTGACCTCATCTGACTTCCCGATTTGCCAGGAGGCAGAGGTCAGGCAAGGCTGTATGGCCCATCCTTTGTTACCTATTTTGACACCAACAGGTCTTCCCACGATACTCTATATCTTTGCTGGATTTGATTATTCATTGCAGTGGCCACACAGAACTTATAGACAGGACTTGACAATTAGTTACACAAGTCAGGATCAGCAAACAGTATTGGGCTCTTAAGCTAGCACCCAGATCTCTGTCCCCTTCTCAGCTTCTCAGCCACATGGTCCCCTTGACCTTGGCTTCCTGAGGCCAGGAATCCAGCCCACTTGTCCTTCTATCTCAGTTTCATAGTCTCAGGCCAGATGCTGTTCTTCTGAGCCTCCAGACAGAAATCTTAAGCATGCTCTTCATTGGTCCTTGGATCTCTGGGTGTGCCCCCCTGGTTTTTACACACCAAAGTGGCTTTGATGGAGATGTGGGGGGTCCTTTCACTGACCACACCCTTAAGGAAAATGCAGGATAGGATCTTAAGCCA